CCTAGCTGGTGGTATCAGGGATGTCAATATGTGGTAGTTATGGTGCTATCAGGGATGTAAATATGCTGTGGTAGTTTTGGTGGTATCAGAGATGTTAATATGCTGTGGTTGTTTTGGTGGTATCAGAGATGTAAATATGTTGTGGTAGTTATGGTGGTATCAGGGATGTAAATATGTTGTTGTAGATTTGGTGGTATCAGGGATGTTATTATGTTGTTGTAGATTTGGTGGTATCAGGGATGTCAATATGTGGTAGTTATGGTGGTATCAGGGATGTAAATATGCTGTGGTAGTTTTGGTGGTATCAGAGATGTTAATATGCTGTGGTTGTTTTGGTGGTATCAGAGATGTAAATATGTTGTGGTAGTTATGGTGGTATCAGGGATGTAAATATGTTGTTGTAGTTTTAGTGGTATCAGAGATGTAAATATGTGGTAGTTATGGTGGTATCAGGGATGTAAATATGTGGTAGTTATGGTGGTATCAGGGATGTAAATATGTGGTAGTTATGGTGGTATCAGGGATGTAAATATGTGATAGTTATGGGGGTATCAGAGATGTAAATATGCTGTGGTAGTTTTGGTGGTATCAGAGATGTAAATATGCTGTGGTAGTTTTGGTGGTATCAGGGATGTTAATATGCTGTGTTAGTCTTGGTGGTATCAGAGATGTAAATATGCTGTGGTAGTTTTGGTGGTATCAGAGATGTAAATATGCTGTGGTAGTTTTGGTGGTATCAGAGATGTAAATATGCTGTGGTAGTTTTGGTGGTATCAGAGATGTAAATATGCTGTGGTAGTTTTGGTGGTATCAGAGATGTAAATATGCTGTGGTAGTTTTGGTGGTATCAGAGATGTAAATATGCTGTGGTAGTTTTGGTGGTATCAGAGATGTAAATATGCTGTGGTAGTTTTGGTGGTATCAGAGATGTAAATATGCTGTGGTAGTTTTGGTGGTATCAGAGATGTAAATATGCTGTGGTAGTTTTGGTGGTATCAGAGATGTAAATACGTTGTTGTAGTTTCTGTAGTGTCAAAGCTATCATCTCGAGAACACCTGAGGCAAGCTATCCTCACCAGCCGAACTCAAGGGGGGGGGGGGGGGGGGGGGGGGCTGACAAACACATCATGTTCTAAAGGAAATATCATCTATTTCTAGACATGATTATAGACTTAAAATCAAAAATCTTCAAGGAAAAGTCATCTTGTTCAGGACATAGGTGCCCATTAAACTTTAATCGGCCAATTACTGGCGGTGGTGGATGATATCTGTTGGCTGTAAGTAGAGGGGATCAGCTGGAGAGGACGGCCCTACGCCTCTGTTAAATATATATTTCATAAGAAATATTTATGGATAAAGGTAGCATTTTCAGAGACAGAAAAAAATCATCAATTAATTTATTAGATTCGTGGATTGAAAATAGACATTCACAGAAGTCCTTCACTGGATTAGTTTAAAGTGAAGATGCAATGATTATTTTTCAACGCTACGAAAAAGTTTAGGTTATAAAATAGAAACCAATCAAATAGCAGCATATGTAAATGTCAAAATATCCAAAATATCAGAAACACCCCAATCCAGTCGTCCTCAAATATAGAAGAAATACACTGAAAACGGAACTGCCAGACTATTCTTGCATTTTTAACGAGTTGATTCGTTAACATAAACAGCATTATTCAACGTTGAATACATCCCAAGGTCAGCTCCTGAGTGACCCCCCAGTGACCAGTACATGGCATGATATATGCGGAACACAATAACACATCAATAATTACTAGTTAATTAACTTGTTCTCTCCATTAGGCATTCATGGTCAAGAAAGATTTTTGTTCACTTCGCCTTTTGTGTATTTGAGTTGATCTTCTAGTACAAGTTTCAATACTATACGTGAGAAATGATGTTTGTCTGGTACGTGAACTTTGCCGTATTTGCTACTGGTACGGTACATTGAACTTGGCAGTATAGGAGATCTACCCGAGTTCTGTTTGTTGTATCTATAACATATACGCACTGAATGTCCTCGGGTGGTTTGATACGTTTCCATTTCTATTAAATTAGTGGAGACATTTGATTGGATGCTACAGCTGTGAGATATGTCCCCATTGGTACATTACTTTGGGTGTTTCCAGCAGATCGCTGACAAGACAATGAAAACTATTACCAGGGTTGACCTTGCTTTGCTTCGATCCATTCTCTATATAAGGCAACATGAGTAAATTCTTGTAATTCCCAGCGAACAGGCTTCATACTGTGGCCAGCAGCCATGTCAGCTCCGGTAATAGTATCCTGTGCTTGCTGACCAAACACTAGGACAATCGTACAAGCAATCAATGTTGTTAATCGAGTGACCAGTAGAACAGTCCTGGAATCAAATCACCTCCGTACTCTACAAATAATCTACTTTTAAACTATTTCATCCCTGAAGACACATTTGAACTCTTCCAATTCAAAGGTTGGAATATTTCATTATGAAATTTCAGGGGTTAATGAGTTAATGAACCGTATTTGATTTTAACAGACAATATTCACTATTAATTATCCTTACTAATTTGTATTTTACTTTTGTGATTACCTTGAAGAGGTCTACAAACCATTTGGTATCTTCAGTATTCGTTTTTTTAATTAAATTCAGTGACAAAAAAATCTTCGCTTCCCGAGAAATCAGACTGATCAGATTTGAAACTTGTTTGAAGTCCAGGGTATGTTTTCTTACAGATATTAAAATCAAAGGCAAACAAATTGGTTTTGCATCATTTTTGTAAATTCCTCAAAATTGACTAAATGGAAAAACACATTATTTGATTATCTGTTTAAAATATCCAAACACAGAAATATTTTCTATCCATGCTAAAGTAAAAATGAATCCCTTATAATTTTATTGGCAAAAAGTTGTACTTTCCAGTTAAATGCATAAAACAGTCCGAAGATAAAATACTCTTTAAGAGATATTTTTGTTATAATTTTACATAATAATAAAAGTCAGTTCTCAAAGTTATATTTGTACCTTAAAGGGGAAATAATCACCAGTTATATCAAATTAAAGTTGACATGCTATACCCATTTTGACACGTTTTAATCACGAGATCAGATCTGTCAGGCGTTACATCTAAAGTTGGATCTGATGTACATGTGTAGTGGGTTGTGTTCTGCAGGTCTATAATGATGTTTGAGATGCAATATGATAGAATGAAATATTTAGGTGTGGTTGAAAATGGTCATTACCAAGATACAAAGCATTCTTGGAGTAATTCAGGAATTACTTAATGCTATATGTTAAGAAACTGGAATGCCTGGTGGAGTATTATAGGCCTTTATAATATACGTTATGATTTATAGAGTGTTGAGTGACAAAACAACATTAGTGCTGTATCGGCAGAACCACAGCGTTGGCGTTAAACAATTGAACGACTTAATTATCAATGGAATTACCAGAGGAGGCTTACAACAATGTAACCAAGGTCAATTTTCCCAAATGCCTCCACTAGGGGCTCGAGTTGATCAATGGGCACTGTAGATTACTAATCTATTGCTCTACCAACTCAACTAAAGGAAATTTCTTTGTAGATATACGTGTAACAAGCAAATAGAAAGTTCACTCCTGTGACATAGCCTCTCGCTCTATGGACAGTACCAATTGTTTTCTAGTCTTTTGGAGTATCAGCATGCTTGTGAGAGCAAGGTCACACAATACCCAGGTCTCTACATGGGCACCGATGTATTTACGTATAGGTCAATTTTGTTAGGAATCGAACCAAGTGTTACAGACTACTGGTACAGTGCTCTACGAATCGGGCTAAATGAAAATTCCTTCTTGCCAAATTATATCAGTAACAAGCAATTACATAGCTCAGCACTATAACAACAAAAGTATGAATAACGATTCTGAAGACTGACTTTGAGGGGCCTGGGCATTGTGGCCTGTACTATACCATATACGGAAATGTTTTGCCTAGTCAAACTTTCGCTGTTTGCCCATAAAATCCATATTTACCCAGTTTAAGTATAGCCCTTAACATTTAATTACGATATTTATTTTTCTTTGTACTTGTTTACACTGTAATGATAGATTCGTCCTCATTCAACGGAGGACGAAAATTAAACTGCAATGAAATTTCTGGTATACAGTATCAGGTGGGATCTGGAAGCTAAGAAACAGTTTCAAGATCACCTCTAGATTCTGAGAGGAATGACATTTTTCTAGATTTTGAAAATGAGATGCACCTGTTACAATAAATAGTATTAATTGGTGCCAGATTGGTATCAGACATAGGGTGAACCTCATGGATAACAGCATTTCTAACTGACATACGCAAGACATGGTTTAGACCGACATTTAATGTCTAACGTACCTAAAGCATTAATTAAATCAACAAATACATCAATGCAGCCCTGTTTAATTAAATTGGGTTGTGTCAATCTTATGTGTATGTGTCAGGAAACTTTAACTTACCCAACGAAAATAGGGAAAACTTAATATTTTTCGTTACAATTCTGTTACATATTTATCTTTATATCATCTTCAAATTATTTGTTTTATTTGCAAGAATAGGCCTTAATTGTTGTACGATTTCAATATGCATGATCAATAACTTCAAAGATGGCAGCCAATCATGCTTTGTTTGACACCTCCAATTTCTATCTATTAGGACCCGCTAAACTCAGAAATCGTTTTATTTTGAAAGACAGAAATCAAGTCAATTTCTTCCCACAGCATGAATAAATAAGTACAAGGTTTATGATAAAACTCCAAAAACCTGTTAACAATGAACAAAATAAATCTCCCCGGTGACGTTGGGAGTTGACACGAGTTAGTTAGAGGGAAAGTGTTTTCCATTTCTCACTAGTTGAGAAATTATCAACAGTGTTTCAGTAGCCGATTGTGTTAAAGATGTATTTGACAGGAGTTATGATAGTTTTGGCCAGAGATTTAATGACAAAAGCCTGGTCAAGTGACCTTCACATTTTTTCGATGAGTACAGTTTTTATCTTGTACATTGCAGGCCTATGGATTGCAGAGCCGCTCTCCATTGTGCGATTGTGAGATGTCTCGTTCATCGTGGTAATTAGCTGTCATTCACATCTCGTCACAGCCAGCAGTGACAACAAACACGAAGGCTCCATCATAACCTGTCTCTGCATCGCCAACTCTTCAACGGTCATACACTCACAGCCCGAAACACCCAACAATCACACTTCCAAAGTGTGGAGGTCTCAAATATTTCTGTGCGACAGCCATGTCATTCCAAGTGAAGCATTCCAAATAATCTTATTAGATTTATAATAAAAACCTCAACACAGCTCGCTATGGAGATTATAAAATAGTTATAAGATGTTGCGAACAGAGATTTAATTTCACTAATTCAAATTTGGAGAGATTGATGATAGCAAAGCCATTAGGTGTCAGAGGCAGTCGGTAAGCCATAAAAATGACATAGCTGTAAGATATTCATTACATCAACTTAATATCTCGATTTTGATGGATTACTGTCGAGTGTCAGAAATAGAGGACCTTTACGAACTCGCATCTTTGTATTAGTGTCATGACGCGGATAAAATCCCAACAACGATATCATTAGAAGGTAATACTGAAATGACAGTTTAGAAGTGATTTTATAGCTGAGGAAGAAAATGAGGTATTTGACATACGATTGTGCATTATAGAGACAGAAGTCGGGCAGCTAGGAAGTGGAATTACTGACAGACATGTATAAAATTCAATTTAGGACCTTTCTGCCCTTGATTGACGGCTGTTAGCAAGATTAACAAGTCCCTTGTCTACAAAAATGTGATTTATTGGAAACTTCTTAATAACTGAAAATTGTGCTAAAACTATTTACTAAGAAATACAATTCCATGATGGCAAGCTGAACATAGGAAAATTGGATAGAAAATATTGTGCCATTTTAATAGTGAAATTTAAAGCTATTACAAAGAGGATTACATCAATGAAGAAAAAGTGAGAAACAACTTACTTTATCAGCAGTATACAGAGTTGTCTTCTCTTGCCAGCAGCCTGGATCATCATTGAGCCTGAAATTAAGACAGAATTGTGAAAGTGGGACCACAAAATCAGGTTTGTGACGTGCTGAAACTCTCTTTTTCTACAAAGTGCCTTAGAGTTTTTTTTTATTAAGCATCGAATCTTGTGTAAAAAAAAAAGAAATCCTGCCTGCGTTAACTTTTGATATTGTGAAATACCCTGTGTAATAATAGCCTGCCTGCTCTCCTAGCTTGTGCCATATAGAGGTAACGATGGGCAACATGGATATCTTAGTGGACAACTTTAACATGAACACAAGTAGGTACACGCCCCAAAGTAGCGTGGAGCCGACCAACCATACCCCCATGGGCAGTGCCCCGGGGGCAGAGACTGTCAACCAGTTTATGATGCATTATAGTCAGTACCACGGCTTTATCAGTGCTGTAATATGCGTGTTTGGAGTCGTGTCAAACATTCTAAATATCATTGTCCTGACGCGGCGTCACATGATCACACCAACAAACTACATTCTGATCGCGCTGGCAATCTCGGACGTTCTCACGATGTCTTTCTACCTAGTATATGCAATCTATTTCTACTGCTATGCCATCCCTTTCACATCCTACGGTCACTCGGAGGGCTGGATCTATTTCGTCTGTATCAACATCCTTGTAGTGATTACGTGTCATAACATGGCCATGTGGCTCACCGTATCGCTGGCTGTGTTTCGATACATCTTTGTGTGTCATCATGTTGTAGCCAATCAGCTTTGCAGTCTTCAGCGCGCCAAAATCACAATCGCAATTGTGATGTTTACGACCATTATTACCTGCACCCCAAACTACTTCCTGTACAAAGTGATCCAATTGGACCTCGAAAATAATCAAACAGGTTACTGGGTGGGCCAGAGTGAGTTCGCATCAAACAACATATACTTCCAACCAATCACTTTCTGGATATATGGAGTGATAATAAAAATTGCACCTTGTGTTTTACTAACTATACTAAGTGCATGTATAATATACACGATGAATGAGGCGAGCAAACGTCGCCAACGGTTACTGCAGCAGTCCGGTCGCCATAACGAGGAGGCACTTGCCGAACATAACCGCACCACCATGATGTTGGTGGCCGTTGTTCTATTTTTTGTCATCACAGAATTCCCGCAAGGCATCCTGGCAGCCATAAGTGGCCTCAACGACACATTTTTCCAGGAGGTCTATTCGAACTTGGGAGACATCATGGACCTACTTGTTCTCATCAACAGTGCCATTAACTTCATACTTTACTGCATCATGAGCAAGCAGTTTCGCGACACTTTCAAAAACTTGTTCGTCTGCTGCAAACTACAGAAAGTGCGTAATCACAGTTCAAACTCCCGACAAAACGGTACCTCCTACTACAATGTGAAAACGGAGTCCACTCAAGTGTGATGTTTAGCATGTGCGTAGGCTATACAAAAAGGTATTCCAATGATATACAGATAATCAATATTTTTTTCTGGCAACGCTTTAGTGGCCTAAGTGTCTAGATTAGGCAAAACGAAAGTTCCTGTGGCCTTGGTAACAAACAATGGCAACTGTTACTATATGGTTCCAGTGACATGCTACTTTGATTTCAGTAGCAAATTATATGCCATGTTACCTTAACATAGGCAATCATGATAACCCGACTTTAGTAAAAACGTTGTTTTGGATTTAGTAACGGAATGATATTCTGCTTGGCTTTAAACAATGACAAATGTTACTCTGGATGAAGGAACGACTGATGACTTAGCTGCTTATTATCACTTGAGTTACGATGAAAGATGTTATTCTGGATGAAGGAACGACTGATGACTTAAATTAGCTGCTTATTATCACTTGAGTTACGATGACAAATGTTATTCTGGATGAAGGAACAACTGATGACTTAGCTGCGTATTATCACTTGAGTTACAATGACAGATGTTACTCTGGATGAAGGAACAACTGATGACTTAGCTGCTTATTATCACTTGAGTTACGATGACGGATGTTACTCTGTATTTAGTAACAAAGTTCAGCATTAAGGTTACAGTGGTCCTAAACACGACAGATGACTGGTGGCCTTAGCAAAAGTAACAGAGACATCTGTTACTATGTTGCCTAACTTGACCATACTGCAGTTACTATTGCCTTGGAAAGAGGACTACTTCCTGTCGTTATTGCTATGGTTACCAGGGCAACACACATTATGGTAACAGAGTGGCCTTGTAACTAACGGTGTAAGGAATACTGACAATTTTTTTTTTCTGGTTATTTAAGTAACAACGACAGACTGCTATTGTTTAAGGAATAATATCTGTGGTGCGACGTCACAGGGAAAAACGATATCGTGTACCTTTGTAGAGGCAACAAACTGTCGGTTTCCCTCTGTAGATTTTTGGTCAACAGCTGATGAGAACGTCTTTTTGGTTGGTGTCTTGTGTCCTAGTGCATAACAGTGTTACTTACTAAGTTACAAACTGGACTAACATGGATAGAGTAAGTAACAATGATGGACAATTTTACTTAAATGTTACTAAAAGTAACAAAGACAAATATCAAGATTTTAAAAATGTTTGTGATTGTTTCTGATTGTCCCTTGTTAACTGTTGGATAACTGAAAACTGCGAACTAATTCTGTTTAAGGTTTTTTCATAAACCATAGCAACAGAAAGTTGTAGATTGAAACTGCCGGGGTAATGATAAGCCGTTGCTATGGTGTGGATAGTTACAGTGGACACAACCGAAGCATATATAGTTACCATGTGGATGAATTAAGTTACACATACATGTTCCATTTTGTTACCATATGGGTACGTACATGTAATATAATAACTATTGACTCGGAAGAAAATGCTTACATGTATCCATGGTAACAGATTATACATTGACAGCATCTAGTCAACATGTAAGTGAATGTTTCGCGGAAGACAGTTATAGGAGGAATGATGTGGATTCTGCATAACTATGGAAACTTTTGCAAAGTTCCTGTGTGTATTTGTAACTAAGTGAAACATTTGGAAAGTTGCAGTTTGTACTGGTACCTATTAGGAAACAGAAGCAATGTGGATTGTTGAACTGTAAAATTAGTTAAAAGCTTTGTTGTGGATTTACATCTATGGAAACATTCAATGTGTGGCTTGTGTAAGGCAAACATTCAATGTGTGGCTTGTGTAAGGCAAACATTCAATGTGTGGCTTGTGTAAGGCAAACATTCAATGTGTGGCTTGTGTAAGGCAAACATTCAATGTGTGGCTTGTGTAAGGCAAACATTCAATGTGTGGCTTGTGTAAGGCAAACATTCAATGTGTGGCTTGTGTAAGGCAAACATTAAAAAGATGCTGTTTGGATTTGAAACTGTAGAAACATATATCTACTGTGTGGATTTGTGCAACTATGGAAATTATTAAATGTCTATGTGGATTAAATAATAATGCATACAAATGCATCTGAAAGTTTCTGAAAGGTAACTTTAGAAATGTTGAAAGAAAAAGCAATCTTAGGACACAGTATCCTAGTATCTAGTCACAGATGCTGGCTGCCCTTAATAGGACATGGACATTAATTGTCACGAGGGCTACACAAAGAAGGTTTTGGAAAATGCCATAATTGCTGCCCGAAATAGGGTGTGGACATTATCTTTAGGGTGCCCTCAGTGGGGTGAGGACATTGCCATGAGGGCTGCCCGCAGTGCGGTGAGGACATTGCCAGAGGGCTGCCCTCCCATGCTGCCATCACATGTAAACACATACACTAACAGATTCAGGATGAGGGTACGACCTTAGAGTTTGCCCAACAATGGTAATTTATATAAGTGGTATAGCATGGGTGTGCAATGCCTCATCAGTACGATTATTACACTAGTTACCCTTTCACCCCTAGGTAACTTTAGCAGACTCTACTATACATTGATCTGGATGAACCCATTATGGTCTACAGTGGTGAAAGGGTTGAAAGCGATTTTGGTTTTGTGCGTGACTCAGAGGACTGTCGACCAATGAGAAAACAGATGTTGAGGAGAGCAGACCATGTGACATTAAGACACAACAAGCAATAGTTTAGTCAACGAGCTGTCATGTTGCAGCCATGTTGATCTTCTCACCATTGTCCACCCAGCCATGTTAATGTAAATAGTATCATATCATGTATATTACGATTGAATTGTAATTTAGTTTTGTGGAGAAAATGTCAGCATGGCTGCAACACTGGTAAAAATCAAACAGGTGGAGATAATATAAGCTCATGTACAGTATGAAGTCCATTTGTGGCTTGTTACCCAACATATCCGTGTCCTAAAGCCAAAACTGATGTTTCATGTGAATTTAAAATGTGTATTGTCTCTTATTGTTACTTAGTGCCCTATTCATTTGTCTATACAACAATTTTCTGAAAGTTTGTTTATTCACAGATTATTTCACATAATTTTGCAATTTTATGGTAGTACTGTACAGACGAGTTCGACAACAGATTAAAGTTCCTATATGTCATCAAAAACTTAACACAGTTGTACTTTCAAGTCACACCTTCAAAACACAAACTAGTCACAACTCCAAAACACAAACCAGTCACAACTCCAAAACACAAACTAGTCACATCTTCAAAACATAAACTAGCCACACCTTCAAAACACAAACTTGTCACAACTCCAAAACACAAACTAGTCACAACTCCAAAACACAAACTTGTCACAACTCGAAAACACAAATAAGTTAAATTTGCAAAACAAGTCAAACTGGTGTCACAACACCAAACAAAACAGTCACATTAGCTGACACATCACCTCCTTTTCAGACACACGTTGTAAAGTCATCTTCAACCATTTTATAACATTTATCCATAAGATTTATAGCACAGCATTTCTACAGATGGTCTAACCTTGACAATACACCAACTTTCCCACAGGCAATGGCTGATCATTAGATTTAAGACAATGGGTAGATCTACATGGTGCACCAGATTTTTGACCCTGACACATTGGATTATCATGCAGTACCTACAAGTGAACACGATACGCTGTGGAGAATTAACGTATGGATGTACGAATTGCAGATACCAGCAGATAGGACTTTTTATGTTTGTTCAGGCTGTTTGGAGGCTATTTTAGGAAGCAATAGTTACTTTGACTTCTGTAACATCCATAATTTCGCAAGCTCTGTGATGATCAAGCTCAAGGCAGGATTTCTAGAAAAAAAATATATCTGGTGTACAATTTTTTTACAGACTCTGCAGTGCAATGAAGCATTGCTCTCTGCATAATAGATCAGTGTGAACAGTAACAGTCACCACGGGACACCTCATGACAACAGGCAGACTAGCCATGGTGTGGCAAATTGCGCTCAAGGGGTGGGAACACTGTATAACAGCATGATTGATTTGATGATAATATAATAGAATGGGTCCATACACATGAAGGAAACCCATAGGACCAGTAAAATGATGGAGAAACACAGCTTATTGGTTGACCATTCCATAACCTAGACGCCCCTGAGGTGAGCCAGCCATGCTTGGATGACATAGTTACCTCCCTCCCCTCATTACCCTCACTGAATAGATTTTGGGGAACAGAAATATGGAACACAGCTGACATACCATATGTAATCTGCAATTTTATTGAGAATCACACAGGACAAAAGCCTGAATGGCATTTACGTAAGAACAAACGTAGACATAATCCTCAGGCATTCACGTAAGAACAAACGTAGACATAATCCTAAGTTTTATTACACACACAAATCGTGGCGAGACTATGTCCTCTAATGGCTTCTGACAATACGATATGGCTTTAAGTTGTGACCTTTTTCTACCCTCAGTTGCCAGAACCTTCTTGACTTAAACACTGATGTCCACACCGTCCATAACTTGAACTTTTACCCGAAACCTTGAGAAGCGATATACTGCTTTTCGAAGTTCCAAAGGAAAGACGAGCATTTTTATGGTCCCACCTCAGCTAATCAAATATGGCATTGTGGCAAGTTACACACAAACTTTTGTAATGAAACATTGTTACTGAGTGGCTAGAGACCATTAGGCAAATCAACAAGAATGGCTTTGCAATGGTTTTTCAATCTTTGCAGAACCATGCAGGATGACTATGACGTCGTTTGTCGTCATCTGAATATATTTCCTCCAAGATATTACGCAAATTAACAACAGCAGTTCTATTGATTATAACCTCTTAAGACGAAAATTTTGTATTCATGAATAATTTAAGTTTCCTGTCTTGGACCGTGTAGAATATTTGTAAGACAAACATTAAATTACTTTAAATGATGAGAGCGAGTAAAATTATTTTAGAGTTGTAGTTTTAGCTGTGTACTTATACTGACTATCTGTCCAATCCAGGACTGACAGCATGCCCTCTTCAAGTACTTAATTACACTGACTATCTGACTAATCAAGAACTGACTGTCAGGCTAATCCAGGACTTACAGCATGCCCTCTT